GGGGAATTCTGGGAGTTGAAGTCCACCCATCTTCAAGTTGCCAAGGTTGAGAAACACTGTTATATACAGTCCACCTTTCCTTAAGCTCTCAGAGCAGAAAAATATGGATCTTACATTATATTATGCCATATATACAGGATGGAAGTCATGTAAAACTCTGCCTGCAGCATGAAGTGTAGGTAAATGCGATGGTGTAAGGATGTGTGGGAAGGACCTTGGGAGACGGGAGGAAGAGCCACAGACTGGACAACCAGCATGTAAAAGGTATCTCAGCCCACAGAAGAGAGAGGGCGTGGGGAGCATCTCAGAAGGGACCCTCCCCAGTTTTCTGGAGAGTAAAAGTAAGGGAGGGGAGAGATGCTTTCAGACTTGCAAGATTCTGTTCCTGTAACCTTACAAGAAAGATAGAGTCAGTACTCCTGGTTGCGCTTCTTGGCTGGACTACCTTGCAGGGCTAACAGAGGGGCAACAGAGCTCCAGGTTTACAGCATTCGTCAACATAGTGCAACATCAATGCCATCAAATGGCTGTCGAGAGTAATGGTCTGCTAATTCTCTCTTTTTTTCTTCTGGTTGTCTTATTCTTGGAAGGCTCTCCCGATTCCTAACGAAGATCGGATTAAGCATCTGCTGGGGCAGAATGCTTGGACCTCCCAGAAGAATGAGTTGGCCAGTTTCTATCCTCGCTTAGCTTCCAAATCTGAAACTGGGAAGATTGGGTTGATTAACCTTGGGAATACCTGCTACATGAACAGTATCCTCCAAGCTCTCTTCATGGCCTCAGAGTAGGTATCCTTCTTCTATTTGTTCCTCCGCTCTTCTCATCAATCAGCCTACCTGTGTTTGTATTCAGGAGTATTTTTGCATGTTGTCTCTCTCCACCTATCTAAAAGATGTAGATTTAGGAAAACCAGCTGTCTTGTTTCAGGTCTCCAACATACACACACACAGTTGCTAGGTGAGGAAAGCAATTTACTCAAGGCTGAGCAGATAACAGCAGACAAAGGAAGAAACGTAAAGCGACAAAGTCTCTTGGAAAGAAAGTTTGCCTTGATGGTTTTGCTTTCCACAGGAGCACACAGAACGGTAGTCCAAATCCAGTCCAAAGTTCGGAGAGCCAAGTCAGGTTTGTCAGCCAGTCCAGAGGTCAGAATTTCACAGGCAGAATCCACACACGAGAATCACGCAAGAGCTGGAGGTCAGACAGTTGTTTCCAGCAAAGAGAACATGGGTCAGGGCTGCCTCTCAGTCAGTCTGCAGTCAGCTGTCTCTGATCAAGAGATTTACTCCCTTGCTTGGCAAGGAGCCTCATAGTCCTTCGCTGCTCTGCTCTCTGCTCTACTCAGTGGGTGCAAGGGCTTGGAGGTCTTAGTCACCATCATCTGACTTCTCCAGCTATCAGGTGGTGCCTGTGTTGGATCAGCCTCTGGTGATTCCTGGCTTTGTCTCTTCTGAGGCTGACATTCCACAGGTTCAGCAGGAGCAGCTTCTTCAGAGTCAGAGTCTGAATCCTGGGCCATGACACCAACTTTTGGAGAATGGGAGTGGGGAAAGTTGTTCTTAGGAACTGGTTGTGGTGGACAAAACTTCTCTCCTTGTAGCATTAGGGTCAAGATACCTTTCTCATCACCTACCTTTAACTCTGGCTGACCCCTTCTCTCCTTCATCCGTTGATGGGGAGAAAGAAGAAAATCCAGATACTTAAGATTAACAGAGAACTCCTCTGCATGTCTTGTTCACCTCAGCCATGAAGACGCTCTATTGATGGTTTCTTTTCCCACCCATTCCGTCTTCTTTTCTTGAGGAGCTTTGAGTCAAATTCCAAGATGCTCAGAAGTTATGACCGTTTAGTTACCTTCAGTAAAGCTAGTCAAAATTGGCTAGCCAAGTAATAAAATCTGAACCAAACAAATAACAGAATACAATGAGATATGGAGCAAGCGGGTTGTCCCATCAACTCATCAACGCCATCGTCCCTTCCCACCATTAATCATTTCTTGAGGACACAGATGGGCAACATCCTCAACCCAACTCCTCCCCTAGCTTCTTCCCGCTGCAAAAATGTATTTATTTATATTTATTTGTTCAATCTGTATAGGCTATACAAATTTGTTCAAGTTGTATAGCCACCCATCTCCCTTATGGGCTCACACAATTAAAAACCCCCAAAACAAACACAAGTAAATAATCAAACAGGAATACAAAAAGAGATTAAAACACATTGAAAATTAAAAGCATTCAAACCCTAAAAAACAATGGGGTGTGCCCACTGTTTCTGGCACCAGTCGTGCAATCATTTCTTCTGCAGCAAATAATTTCAAGGTCAGTTTAGGACAGTGGTTCCCAACCTTTTCTATGCCCCACACCCCTAGGAAATGTTTGATTAATGTTCGCACCTCCTACAAAAGTAATATCACATTTGAAGAAGAAGTCCAATTTCTAATGTGGGTGAACAAATTGAAATAAGCTTTTAACTCAGTGCATAAAATTGTCGCACCCCCTGAAATTCCATCTCGTACCCCCTAAGGGTGCGGGCACCCCAGGTTGGAAATCCCTGGTTTAGGGGCAGGATCTGCCTTGCTACTAATGGTCACCTGAGGCTGCTGTGGGACATTCCCCCCCAACCCCAGTCCTTGTCCATTGCTTTCTACAACCATTCACCTTTTGGCAGAAGAAGAAGTGGGGCGAGAGACGCTGGGGAGAATGACTCCAATTCTAAGGAGCAAGACCTGAAAGCAGAAGACCTGTAGGATCCAAAGGAGATGTTCCTCACCTGCCCCTCTTTTCTCTCCTGCTTCTGGTGCAGACAGGACCTCTATTTTTCTTGGCAGGGGTTGGAAATCTGGTCAGCACTTCCTTCAGCCAGCCTTGTTTTCTTTCAGCTGAATAACAGGATTTAGGGCTGTGCTGCAGAAGAACGTCCTGCAAATGTTCTTCTGCATGGCTGAGTTTTAAGTCCAACAGGGCGTGCTTCTGGCAATGTAGGTCAGGTAGGTTTGGAAGACAGGGCAGACTGCAAATTGCATCATACATCCTCAAGACTTTTATTTGGACTCCTTTAGCTACAAATAAAATATGAACTAGCAGTGGAAGCAAACATCAGCCATGAAGGGGCCAGGAAGCATGATAGCATTTTACTCCCAAAGGTCTGAACTTTTCTGTCTCAAGATCAGGAGGTGGAATCATTTACTAATTGACCCATTACAGGCAGATGTTCCCTAATCAATGCAGTCCTGTATGTATGCCCCTCCAAGTTGCTAATCCTCTGTATGGTCACTTGGGGAGTTTTCTGAGTTTGAATATGGCCTGACCCAGGTTGCAAAGCCCCTCTTGTTTCTCCGGGGGGAGGGGGGGACCAAATTCTGGCTCCCACAAATCTAAAATAACCGGGTTTCTTTTCTTTTTCGTGGCTTGCAATTCTAAAGCAGCTCTATGGAATTAAAGAATGTTGTAACTAACTCAATGAACTAGTTAACAGAGAATCAAAAGGAGAAAGTTAAGGAAAGACGGCAGAAATATCCTTGTTAAAAACATCTGATCAAAGCAAGTCCATCCTTACTGTATGTAACTACCCAGGGCAGAACGGTGCTTGGCATTTTGCAATGAGCAAAGCCACAACCTTCTGTACCATTCTGGGGTTTAGCAAAGCCAAAGAGTAGAATGATGTGTAATTATCTGGGGCAAAGTCACCTCTGTTCAATACATCTTGTACTTTAACTGAGGCTTGACAAGGATTGTGGGTTGCCATATCATGGCCTGTATTGGCTCCCTGGATCAGCCCTTAACTGACTAGATTAACTGACCCGTGAATTTTGGCGATCGGCTTCCCCTTTTTAAGTTTAAGGGAAAAAACATTCCTTTTCAGCTTCAGGCGATCGGTGCTGAATTTAGCTGAGAACAACTCCCAGCCTCTGATGGCGAAACTGCAGTGGCTCTTTGCCTTTCTGGAGCATAGCCAGGTAATTTTGTGGAACATCTTATTTTTATTTGATTATGTAGAAAATGTACGTGGCTGCCCAACTCACACACAGGGACTCCAGGCAGCTTATAAAGTAAAATCTTTTTAATTGTAGGACGGTGCCTTTGGGGGCTCTAAGCTCCATGTTTGTCTTAGTGATGTGTGAGGGATTAGAGTAGTGTTTCTCAACCTCAGCAACTTTAAGATGGGTGGACTTCAACTCCCAGAATTCC